GCCGGGGCTGCCGGACTACTCACATCCACCACAGCGGGCAAAACCTGGACATTGTGACCCTTTGAGTAACGGCGTGAGGCCCCACGAGCCCACGCGAGCTGGCCCACCAGTGCAGGGTGCCTCAGAGGTCCAGCAGCGACCGCTGGCTTTCGGTGCGCGATTGCCACCACCGCGGTACTGCTGACGGGAAGCGTGCGGAGAACGGGACGGGTGCCACCGGCCTCACAAAGGCCAGCGGTGCCAGCCCGGCTCGCTGCTCCCCGGGGCCGGGCAGCGGCGCACCACGCTGCTCGGGCACCCTCCGCCGTGGGGCGAAGGTCCGACCGCCGCCTGTCAGCACTCGGCTGAGGCTGCCTGTGAGGTTGGAACCGCGGCAAACAGCCCTGGACAGAAGTGACGGAAATAGCGGGCAGGTGTGACAGGGACGGAGGAACCGGGGCCTAGATTTCTTGCCCCATAAGGAGCTAGAGGGCTTGGAGGGCCGTCGGGACTGGCTTCCACGTACTGAGCAGCCCGTTAATTCGTGGCATAAAGCATAACTTGCCTTTGCCGTCCGTATGTCCCTGGTAAAGCACACTTGCAGAAATAATCCCGTGCTATCTACAGGAGAGGTCCCCATAGCGATATTTTTTGTCTCTAGAATGTGGGGTAATCCGTGTGGAAAACAGAAATATCTATGAAATTATCAGAAATACCTGTCAAACCAGTCCTTCCAGGGCATGCGAATTTGCTAATTGAAATAATAGCACAATATATCACAGGTTAGGCAGAGTAGGGAAATGGAAGGTTTTCTGTAAGAATTTTATGTGAGAGTTATAAAGATACTTAAGTTTCCCAGGCTTGGATCCTAAATCCTATTAGTCATCTACCTAACCCTTCAGCTGCCTAAGCACCTTTAAAAATTGGATGGCTCCTCTTTCCCCTATATTGCTAACTCACTGAGGGGAAATAAGTTTCAGGATACATACTCTACATTGCAAACTGCTTTCTTTTATTCAGCAGTACAGCAGAAACTAATAGTGTACTTGCTTCTCTGCCTCCTTATATCAACAGAATAAATTCTTGGTATAGTGTGGCACTATACCTTCTCTAGAGCCATTCCTCTTTTTACACTGACTGCTGGACAGGGAACACGGAGCAAATAACCGAGGACAAGAACATTTTCTACTGTGTTTTCCTCCCTGTTATACTAACATAATCTATTTAAAATAGAAATGGGCCAACATGTAGAAAAAACAAAATACAGTTAATGAATAAATAGCTCCATTGCTTTGCATCAAACTATTTTTCCTTGTATCATGTAAGACAAGAGACAAATCAAACCCTTCATCCACAGCAAATAAGCTGATCCTACACTGATGAATAAAAGTTCTGTTTCTCTAAGTAAGAGTTTTCCATC